CAATGTGAATGGTGACTGATGAATGATAGCTAAAATTTGCTGAACTCTAGCTAAATGTAGCAAAATGCCAGCTGAAAGCTAAAATGTTAGGTACAAGCTAAAAATATCAAAATTTTTCTAAAACCTAAAAGCCATTAAAGGCTTCCTCAATGCAAAAAGTAGCAAAAGGCTAGCTATAAATGGAACAAGAGTAGCTAAAAGCTAGAAGTAACGGAAGGATAGCTAAAATTTGAAGCCATCATATTTTTAAGATCAGCTAAAAGCTTAATAGCAAAAGACTAGCTGGAAGCTAACTGTAACAGAATAGTAGCCAAAAGCTAAAAGTAGCAGAATAGTAGTTAAAACCTTAGCAAAAGGCTAGTTAAAAGTAGAACAATAGTAGCTAAAAGCTAGAAGTAACAGAAGGATAGCTAAAATCCAACACTAATTAAAAACTATATTATCTAAAGGCTTATAATAGCAAAAGACTAGATGAAAGCTAACTGTAACAGAATAGTAGCCAAAGGCTAAAAGTAGCAGAATGGTAGCTTAAACCTTAGCAAAAGGCTAGCTAAAAGTAGAACAATAGTAGCTAAAAGCTATAAGTAACAGGATGGCAAAAATCCAAAACTATCTAAATAAAAAACTATATTAGCTAAAAGCTTATAATAGCAAAAGACTAGCTGGAAGCTAACTGTAACAGAATAGTAGCCAAAAGCTAAAAGTAGCAGAATAGTAGCTAAAACTTTAGCAAAAGGCTAGGTAAATAATAGAACAATAGTAGCTAAAAGCTAGAAGTAACAGGATATCTAAAATCCAACATTATCTATTTAAAATACACATTAGCTAAAAGCTTATAATAGCAAAAGGCTAGCTGGAAGCTAATTGTGGTAGAATAGTAGACAAAAGCTAAAAGTAACAGAATAGTTGTTAAGAGGAAGCAAAATGACAAAATCTGTGTTTTAGCTAAAATCGTAAAACAGTAAAAGTATAGCTTAGAACACAAAGTAGCAAAAGGCTAAAGCTAGAAGAGTGACAAAATCATAACTATAGCCTAGTTGAATTGTAGCTAAAACTCAATGGTGCTAAAATGCTAGTAAAAGCTATAGGTAGCCAAATTCTAACTAAAATTTAAAAGTAGCAAAAGGCTAGCTAGAAGTGGCAGAATAGCTAAAAGTATCAAAAAGCAAACTGCAAATTAAAACTCCAGTGAGAAGACAGAAGAGGCAGCCTGAAGCAGATTTTAGAAACATTTTGAATGAACTGAATGTGTCTCTGTGGGCTAAATATTTCAAAATAAAGTTAAATATTTTTGAAAAGTTTGAAAAACAAAAGTTGGATCAACTATCTCCTTAATATGTATTGACTGCAAAAACGGGGGTGGGGGGTGTTAAAGCAGGAAAAATGTGTTATGATGCTGACTCTGTGTTTATTAATCATATGTTATTTGCTGGCTGTGTCGGGCTGATTGTGTGGTCGGGGTGGGGGCAGCGCCTCGGTGCTTTCAGGGTTAAGAATAGCTGATGTGCATGCTGCTGAATGGAGTGTCGGTTTTCAGCGCAAACTCCTCCTCTAAAGCCACCGACATCCTGCGCTTTTCCTTCCACTTCAACAACCAAGTAGTTTTTTTTCTTCTTCTTCTTCTTTCTTGGAGCGCTCTCTCTCTCTCTCTCCAGCAGCTGTGTGGAGGGAAGGAACGAGCGGCTGAAAGATTTGTCGCATTCTCTCTCTCTCTCCTTTTTATTTGGTAGAACTTTGTGGACGAACACAAGAAACAGTTTGTTCTTATGGGAAGGAAAACGAATCAGAAGTGAAGAAACCTCCCCCCCCTTTCTTTCTTTCTTCTTGTTTTTAACTTGATCCATTTCTCTGCGCTTCATGGACACACGGAGATGAAACTGTTGCTTTCTCTCGCTGTTGTAAGTTTATGTTGTCTCCGGGCCCCGTAGGAGGAGAGAAAGAGAGAGGGAGCGAGAGAGAGGGAGAGAAAGTCCCCCCACCTCCACCCCTCCATTCCTCAGGAGCACAAGAGACATACAAGGAGGACCGCAAGTTGTCCACAAGCTGCAAAAGGAGACGAAAGTTTGCCAAGTTTGCTGCGCATCCGGCCGCAGACGCCAAAAACATTTCATCGATATTTTTCAAGCGGCGCCAGAGTTGCGACTTCTAAACTGTGGATTATGGACGCGGATGGAGCACGAAACCGACCTGACGGGATGAAAGAGGACTTCTGAAACTGTTATTGCGAACAGCGTTCACTGCACCGGCGGCGCGTTTCTGGACACCGCTTCTATAAATATATATATTGAAAAGTAAACTCTTCTCGTTGTTTTCCTCCTCGTCCACCGGTGCGCAAACATGCCTCAGCTGAACGGAGGCGGCGGGGACGATTTGGGGGCCAACGATGAGATGATTTCGTTCAAAGACGAAGGGGAGCAGGAGGAAAAGATCTCCGAGAACGTCTCCGCGGAGCGGGACCTGGACGATGTCAAATCCTCCTTGGTGAACGAGTCGGAGAACAACAGCAGCTCGTCGGACTCTGAGGTAAAATAAATAAATAAATACAGAAAGAAAAAGAAATACGCAAATTACCCAAGTATGTGCTGAGCGGATTGTGATTAACAGGGTTGAGAGTTATAATAGTTTCTACCCCCCCATTACCCCCTCCTCCTCCTGTGTGTGTGCGCGCGTGTGTGCATGTCCTTCCCTGCAGCAGGCAGAGAGGCGCCCCCAAACCAGACCCGACTCAGAAAGTTATGAAAAAGCAAGAGACTACTTCAGTGAAGGTGAATGTTTTAATGTTAAAACAAAAACAACAACATCCGCAGTATTTTACCCACAAGTACTACAGTGTACATATATATAGCTTGTGTGGTTTGAGAACTGACTCCTCTCTTCCCCCTTCTGCAGCACTGAGAAGACAGCAAGATGGTGGCCTTTTTAAGAGTCCACACTATCCAGGCTACCCGTTCCTCATGATCCCAGACCTCACCAACCCGTACCTCTCCAACGGCTCTCTGTCTCCCAGCGCAAGAACAGTGAGTGTTCCGGTGGATCCGCTTTCCTTCCTGCTCGCTCTCTCTCTCTCTCTCTGCAAAGAAAAGAAAAAAAAAAAGTTTTGGTCGTGCGTAAAAGTTCCTTGTGCGCAGCCCAGACCGCCATATTCTCTCCAAGTGGCCTCTCAAGGAGCAGTACTAACTACTTCTTTGTTCTTTTAGGGGGGCCATATAAATTTCTCCCTGCCACCCACCCATGCACAAACTTATACATCTGACAGTTTCTCATTCAAGCTAAAAACTATTCGTTTTGTTAATATTTCCTTGCATTAAAAACATCAAAATTAGATCTTTTTATCTTATTAAAACTAACCTTGTCACCATTCTTCACATATTTCTGCGCTAACACGGTATGCAACTATTTCTTTGTGACATGTATGTATTTTAAAACCTTTACACTGCAGCTAGATGAATTTCCTTTTTTATTTTCTCTTGCACTGGTTCTAGTCCTTTTTGTTGTTGTTTTGGAGGAGCTTTCCTTCCCAGTGTAGGCTGGTAACCAACGTCTTTACAGTGCTTTTAAGGCTGGAACCAGCACAGGAGGAGGAAAAGGTTGTCTCTTGAGCTATATCCTGCAGTAACAACAATGCAACAATCTCGCCTTGACACACATGTAAAGGCAGCTCGCTGCAGCTGCCTGTGACAGACGTTGTCCAGAGGCTTTAAATGTCCAGATAAGGGGCCTGCCAGTGGAAAGCGAGTGCTCTTAATGCACCGTTTGCAGTGGGGTTTCGCCCGCTGCTGCCGCACCAACTGTTTGCAAGATTTTAAAACTGCTTAAATTATTTGTTGCATTTGGTGAAGTAGCATGTCTCCCACTATAATTACAGCTGTAAACATCACATGTTAGCTGTAGTTAGATAGCTGAGAGCGCATTCTGTTACATTAGAAACTACACACATCATAGAACAATAGTTAGACTTTCTCCAAATTGACTTTGCAGGACATTTAAGACAAAACAAACTCAAATTGGTTTTGAATAGGGCTGAGCAAACTTCCTTAAAATAACACCCCCCTGCCCATCCCATCACCCTCAAACCTTGTCACCCCCATTAAAAAAACAACAACAGAAAAAACAAGGACTTTCGTTAAGGCCTGGCAGGCATCTGACTGAAGAGACACCCACCCCCCACCTTTCTGTCTCCTTTTTCACTGTCCCAGGCCTGCTCACATGGCCTACCCCATATCTTCCATTCAATTAGAAAGGCGTTAGTTGACCATTGTTATTCTGAGCAGCCCGATGGCTTCATTGGAGGTCTCCTTTGGGCCTCATTAACTAAATGGCTGCCCTCCTTATACCACTGCGTGCTTGTAGTTTGTCTTGGGTTGTTGGTTTTGGAGTTTCGTGGTGACAAATGTTTTTTTATTACACCTGCTTTGTGGTATTTTAAGGTTTTTGGTAATAACACAGGGGGAAAAAGTTAGATTTACAGTGAAATCTTTTATGTTTTTGTGAAGCAAAACAAATTGTTTTTCTCACTTGAGGCAAATGAACCAATAATTAGAGGGGATTTCTTTAACCGATGAGTATAATCCTCCATATTTGAGAGGGAAAAAAAAGAAAAGAGGTCAATGGGACAGGGTGAGCTGACCATGTCAATCATCACTGTGGCAGAAAACAAGCAGGCAGACAATAGCTGGCATACTTAGCGGTCGTCTTAAGGTCTCCATATTGCCCTGCCCTCATGGCTCAGTGTGTGAATGCTGTGAGTGTGATTGATGAGAGGCTCAAGTTAGTACCTTTTTAGCCTCGCATTCTAGCCGTTGGGGCTGTTTGGACCTGTGGATCGTCGCGGTTCCCTGCGGTCCGATCTGGAGAGTGATTTTTACCAGCGGCCTGCGGGAGCACGCCTGGCTGGCAGCACGGTTCTACCGATGAGCTCCATAGTTAAATTTATCCTGCGTCATCAGTCCGCGAAACGTGCAGATCAGCCAGAGAGATAGGCGCAAAAGCCGTCCTGCTACTTGGCAAACACCTTGTGATATTGCATGGCTCGAAAAACCCTGCTGAGGCTGAGGGATTTGTTTTATAGGCTTTGAGTGGTATGTGGTTCGTACTTGTGCTGCATGAGGCTCATTAAAGCTACCTCTGTCAAGCAGATCATATGATTAGTCCTAGACAATGAAATCCACAAGTTGTGTTTTTATTTTAAGATGGAGAGCTGCAGTTTTATAGCTTTGCGTAAACATTTTTGCAACTATAAATGCACGCTAGCCGTGATTATTCCCCCCTGCATTTCCTGGATGTAGGTGTTTAAATCTCACTTTTTTATGGCGTTACCTTTAAAGACTTTCTGTTCAGTTTCACAAGAGTGCCCCATGCACGCTTTATAACAAACACAAGATGTTGTTCTAGAGTCGCGATGCAGTATTTCACTCAACAAGATAAAGAAAGGATTTAAGCCCCGAACTTTGCGAAAACAAATTTGAATGTGGCAATCCCATCATGAGCAATGAGAGACAGGCCTACATGGGATCAGCGCAGAGTTCCCCCGAGGGCCAAGCATAACTGATTTAAAGCCTGCTCAGAGCTGACATTCCGCTGTAATCCACCGAGAGCTGAGGAGGAGGTTTTATGTTTGCAGAGATGTTCCACCAGACTTCGGCTTGCTGTGAGGTTAAGGTTCCCGTGTGTTTTTTTTTTTCATTTCCCCACACATACAAACCCGACTTAACAAATCCAGCTCATTGTTTGTCACTTTGCAGGTCTGCATTGCTCCCGCAGGGACGGCCCAGATCTCGACGGTGAACACACTCTCTGCTTGACGCCATCTCCTGTCACCTTCCCCGGCACTTTCAGATAACTGTGCTTGTACATCATCCTCATCGTCACTAAAGAGTGAAATGCCTTTTGTGTGTGAGAGGTGGCAAGCAGGCGAGAGCGAGGCCAGACGCACAAACCTATCTTCGTCAAATAACGCGATGGGACGCTCCGAGCTCTCCGAGCATGATTGTTGAATAGGAAAATTGTTTGGGATCAAGATAGAAAAGCTTGTATAAGTCTGAACTTGTCGGTGGCCACGGCTGCATGCCTCTCTGGCTCTTGTTGTTTTTTTTTTCTCAATCTTTCTGCTGCTTTCGGTGCCTAGAAATGTGCAGACAAAGAAAAGTCAACAGAGGCATTGTCCGGTGGTATAAAAGGGCCTCTCCCTGCAAAAGCTGAGCCTGTTTGTGTCGAGGTGTCTTTTCATCAGGTGGCTCACTTGGCATTTCACTCACCTCGCTGTGCACATGTGTGTGTGTTCGTGTGTGTGCGCAAATGAGCAAACGTGCAGCCATGCGTGCAGTGCGTTTGTCTGTGCTAAGTCTGTAGGTGCCAGAGGTTGAGGAAAAGAGGAGGAGGGGTTGCGTTCAGGTGAGGCTGTGTTGATATTTTGCAACAGAGGGAACAGTGTACGGCGCTCACCTTCTGACAAGCGTCAGCGCTGTATTCCTGAATCTTAGCCGGCAAATATTTTCCCAGCCAAGCGCTGTGTCAACAGAGCTAACATTTTTTGACTCGGTTTATAGTTTTTAAAAGAGTTTTTCTTCAAAGGCAAACACGTCCACATCAACCTGGTGGCACTGTCCAATTAGAAACAGATCCCTCGGTGACCGCAGAAATGCTGATAGCTCCTCGAGTTTGGGGTGATTACCTTCAACAGTAATCTTTTAAACTTATGGATGCTAAAAAGGGAAATAAAGAGGTGATTATGGTATAAACTAGACACTGCATTGCGGTAACATAAGGACCCTCTCATGCACAAATGCACCAGAACTCAGAAGWCTTTATTCCTAATAAATGTCATGCTACTAGGTGCATCCYAAAATTGTACTGGTTTGGGTGGGGTCTTTTATTTATTTATTGTGGGGTGGGGGGCATTGGTGGGCCTGATGGATAGAGCTTCATCAGAGCTAAACAACAAAAGAAATCTGAAGCTTCTATGTTTAACAGTTACTGAGTTATAAGCATTTTTGCATGTCCAGACACCCCCTCTTTGAAAGGAGCCCCCTCCTCAAATATGGGGTCTATCGTAAAACCGTTGGCTGGCACAGTGTAGGTCAGACTCATCTACAGTCCTGCCAAATTTCACGCTGATCGGTGCAGGCGTTTTTGTGCTACGGTTGACCAAAAATCAATGAAAAAAAAGAAAAAAAAAAACAGTACGAAAACAATATGACTCCCGCTTCCACTTCGCATGTGGGGGTCATAATAATTGCATATTTCGACCACATTTTGTCTTTTAAAAGCACAAGGTGTAATCAAGATCAGAATTAGTGCAACACAAACCAAAGCAGTTTTTAGCCTTTCGCTTGGGCTTTCACGCCAACTTGCATCTTTCCATTTGCATTTCCTTTTCATGCTCACTTCCCAACGTCGTCCGTACAGAGTTGAGCGAAATGGTGTCAGTCCTGGTCTGCATCCTTCCCTCTTTGGTCTCTGTGGACAGCCCGAGCTGGCGTCAATTCCTCCTGCTACTCCATAGCCTGCTAGTTTCGCTACCTAAACCCACCCACTCGCCCGCTTGGCATTAGGAATTCTGTTTATAGCGCTCTCTGGCTTCTCGAGCTCAGGGCCCATCAGGAGCATCTCTGCCCCCTCGGAGGAAAGGATAACCAACATCTCCCCTCTCCAGCCGCAGACTCCCCATGTTCAGTGGCATCAATGAATCCCTTTGATGTGCCAAGATGAATATATCTGTGCAAATGTTTTTTTTTTCTTCTTCTTTTTCTTTTTTTAAATCAATTTATGTGTTTTTCTCATTTGCTATGTTTGGCCGTGGCTACACTGTGCAGTTGGGTGCATTGCTTTTCCTTGTGAACGCTGGAGCAAGACTTGTGTTTGGGTTCAAAGGGTTGTTGGTTGAAGGTGAACATCTCCAACACGCCTGAATTCACTCCAAAGTTGATACTTTTTGAAGCTTTGATACAGCTTGTGTTATTGACTACATATCAACAAACCTAAAAACTAAAAAAAAAAAAACTTCTGTTGCAGAGTTAAA